TTCAAGCACATGTACCTTTCTCATACATGTCTCCTGTATCTCTCTACAGTGTCTATATCATAAATAATGTCTGGTTTATGTTTATGGACTTTGAATCCTTGCTGAAAGTAGATCTGTATACGTTGTCAGAAGGAGGATCAAAACAAAGAAGCTGAAAACTACGTTTATAGGAAGAAAAAACACCTCAAGCCACACCAAAATAAAATCCTCCTCCTCCCCACCAAACCCCAGCCTAAGAAGAAAAGAAAGAAAATAAAGGATAAAATTGTGACCTTTGAGTTCTGGAGAAGGCTTAGCTATCCAGAGCATAGGATGGAATCAGTCCTAACACTCAAAATAAATACTAAACCAATTTAGAAATGTATCTGAAAGACTTTGAAACTTATCCCAGATGTTTCTATAGTTTTTTCAAGACTTAAAGAAATTGGCTTGTAATGGGATAGATTACACATTACAACCAAAAGGAGGGAATACCAGTGTTCTGGTATTCAGTAGAAGATCACTGTACAAGACGTCACCTTGTACAAGCCGGATTCATGCTTGTGCACACAGACCTCATCTCTGTGAGGTGTCCAGTCAGATCAAAAGTTTCTTTGTGAACTCAGGAAATGCTATGAAGGGATGAGCAAAGACCTGATAAGTAAAGGGGCAGGTTAGAATTTTTTAACAATATAAATATATTTACATTTATACCAGCATATCTAAGTCATTTGAGGGTGAGATTTTCCATACACTTTTTTTACTAACATGAAGTCTAGGCACACATTTCCTGGGACAAAGGAAGATCAGCCTCCTTGGTACTACAGGTTTTGTTCCCAGATGATACAGTGTGGCCACATCCACTTTAAACCATTACAAGATCCTAGAAGCACTTTAGAATAGATGCAGATTAGCCATCAAATGAGTACTTCTCATGATTTCTCAAATCAGTATCAGATAGGTGTGGTTCTGTTCCAATCAGTAGGCTTTACTGATGCATCCTTTCCAAGTCCATTGTGTCAGCAGAATTCTCCAGGCCACATAGGTACCATAGCCTAAGGTGTGAATACAGGAAACATAGGTAATACCTGCCCCAGTGTTGAACTGGCTGCTCATGTTCAGCATGTTCAATTAACGTGCTCGTGCTACACAAAACGCAGAAGCAAGGGACAGAACTTTCTGAGCAACTGTTTTTTTCAGTGGGACAACCAGAAAGGGTCATGCAGAAACATCTAGAGATGCCAGCTTAGATCACAAATCATTCAGGTTTCTCCACAGCTGTGTTAACTATAAATCTCAAAATTCTTCCTCTTAGCAGAGATGCTAAGTTTGTGCAGAGGTGTTGAGAATCAACTGGATGAAACCCTGAGCAACCTGATTTAATTAAGTCTGCTTTGAGCTGGATATTTGACTAGGTGACCTCCAGAGGTCCCTTCCAGGCTAAATTATTCTATTAATCAATCCTAATGCATCTATATTTCATTCAGGTCCAGTATTAGTGTCACTGCTCTCCTATTCTCAATGAAATAACACTAGGACTCTCCTCAGTAAAAAAAAAAAAAAAACAAACCAAATTTGGTTGTATTGTAGGCTAGCAAGTTAAGTGTTTAATCTAAGGGAGCCAGTGCGCTTCTTTGGGGGTCCATGCTGTTCCTGAGACAGAAAAGCTGCATCATGTACAGACTTCCTCATGTGCACATGCCCCACCTCCAAATATGTAGTATTTGTTGTCTGAGTGATTCTTTAGTAGTCAGAAAAGTAAGAAAACTTCAGGTTCTAGGTTTGGGTAAAAAAAACACGAGTATTTGATTCTGGTGTGTTAAGAGAGCACCTCATTGACAGAGTGGTGAAAGCGGCATGGTATTTCCAGATTTAAACAATACTAGATTCTCTTCATAATGCTTCATTGAATAAGACTATTATAGTGGAAGGACAATTAATGACTGTTTTCCCAAGTACAGACCAGGGCTGTGAATGAAGTGTCAGCAAGGAGCAGTTCCCTGACAAGCAAACAAGCTGACAGTGTTTGGGAACTCCCTTAGAGACGTGGGTCCTTTGTTTCATTTCTCACTGCTCAACATGAAAAAGAGGAAGAATTTAGGAGGAGCTGATTTAAACTGCAGAAAACATACTGTGATCTTCCTTCAGTTTGCATCCTGGTAACATGAAGGACAGGGTCATAAAGACAATGAGGAGCACGATCCTTTTCCTAATTTTGCTGGGAGTAGTATCTGGTAAGAACATGATTTCATCATGCTGCTAAAATTAGAACACTGTTGGCTGTTACACTTTCTCTAGGGAATTTTATAATACATATTTAGGGATCAGACACAGATGGGAAAAATCAAGTAACAATTATTTTCCTACTGAAATAGATTGGGCTCTGTGGTTACAGCAGTATAATGAAGAGAATATGACTCTTTGCTAAAACACTTCGTTTAATGAGGCACTTCATTTCTAATAGCCACTGCTCAGTGTGACAGCACTGGAGTGGGAAAGGAGGTCAGCTCTCCAAGAAACAACAACTAGTAGTTATACTCCAGTATCTTCCTTTCAAATATTGATAACATTTCTCTTTGATAAAGTAAAACAAGCAACCAAACAGGACCAAACAGAAAGAAATTTATGGACTATATTAGTGATGCAAAATCACTAATTTTGATCAGTGTAAATACATGGGAAATTTGCCAATATGAGTATTCGTATATTAGCAACTTAGTAGATATTCAAACTGTCTGAAGTCTGTATGGCACATGAAGCACTGTTGCTGCTGTAAGCTACTTCCTCAGGTAGGGTCATTTTGTTCTCAAGGAACTGTAAGATTTCTGCAATCCCTCAGAAACCTGACAGTATTCAGTGGTTTTCCTGATGTTCCCAAAACTGCCTGATTAGGCAGATTGATTAGGACACTGCCTGTGACTTTCAGGTTTCTTTGAAAAATAGCATTTTTCTAACCTGCATGGTGGTGGATAGAGAAAATCTTGAAGGTGTTACTCAAACACACTCTAAAGACTGGCACATCACAGATAAATAAGTCTTAAATATACATAAACTTTTCCAAACTAATATCATTGTATTCATCATTTGTCAATGATTGTCATTGATAATTCTGATAAATAATGTGTTAAATTACTTCAGAAATATTTTGTTCTGCAAAGTAAAGAGGTAAGCAAGGATTTGTGAATATGGAAGGAGGGGTTTTGTAAAATTGGTTGGAAAAAGAAGAAGCATTTAGATGAAGAACCTAAAATTTCAGTTAAAAATAAAGAAGTAAGAACTTTTTATTTAGAAAGACAAATTCTGAATAAAAAGCCAATGAAATCTTTGGAGATAATACAAAAATAGCAACTCCTTTCTACATTTCTAAATACTAGTAAATTAATTCATTGTTTTTATAGATGGTTTCCATTAATGAACTGTGGCTTGATGAGTGAGCTGAATTCATCAAGTACTGTCCACAGGAGATTACACTCAAAGTTCAGCTCCACTTATGGAAATGTATCTCCAGAAGCCCTTCTCAGCTCAGCCTCATTTGCATGGGTGATTTTTGTTGATGATGTTTTCCAGAATCTCTAATAACAGTAATAAAAACTTAGTCCTTCACTGTTATCTTGCTCCTGCTGGTATAAATCAGTAACAGCTCAGCTGAACTCAGTCCTACTAAGGTGTCAGATTGACCTGTTCAGATTAACTCTTTCAGGCAGTTCCCACCTCACAGTCTCCCACATCCCAGCCTGTACCTGTAGAGTTTCTCCAATGCCATATTTTCCATAAATGCCAGAGTAATCCCAGCTGGATCAGTGACTCATGAACCTGCTGTATCTGCAGTGTGGGAGCATGAGAATCTCCATGCAGCTGTGGAGGGGCCCTTAGGCTGCAGCTCAAGTGGTCTCAGACTAGTTCCTGTAGCAACTTTTCACCCTGTAGCTCTGCAGCAAAAAAAACCAGAACAACTTAATGGGGCTTTTGCTACAGTAATTACTGTAATTACAGTAATTAATGAGCCTGTCCAGACCCTTGAGTGGGCAGTATCTGTCTCCTTCTTGGCACAGTGTGTAGGAAGTTTGGCTGAACACAGCCAGCTTTCTTGGAGAGTGTTTTGGACGAGCCAGTGAAGAATCCCCAAGCAAGAGTCAGCCCTGCCGTACTCTGGTGCTGAGGTACATTGCTGGTTCAGGGATGTGAGATTAATGAAGTGCTGCTTCAGGGCACCAAAAGCAGTCCTGATTTATGTTTTCTGACATTCTTCATAAGATGAAGCACAACAGGCCTTTGTCAAAAATACCAAAATCTAGAAGCTAAATGACAGGGGCAGCAAAAAGTTCGGTCTGGGGAGACCAGAGGTCTGGACAAACAAGGAGCTTGCGCAGATCTGTTAGATGCCTCCCCAGTATGTACAGCTTCATGCAGTTTTGAACCATAGTGTGCTTTTGTGGGCCTGCATCTTCTGCAAAGACTTCTCCAGATTGCTCTTCCTTGCTCAAAGCAGGAGACATGACAGAACCACCCCTGAAACTGCTACTAACTCACACTACTCAAGAGCCAGGCTTGCACACAGCTGCCATAGAAAGAATTAGAAGAGGGAAAATGGAGGGAACAGGTGGTGCAGATAGTATAGTCCACAAAAAAAGATTATTTCTTTAGTATCTGGGTCTGTTTCTCAAGGTATTTTTTGATGTAACGGTGAACAGAGGCACTAATTAGTACAGGGGGAAAAATGAAAAAATAGAAAAAAATTTGGCTTCTTTGCTTAGGTATAAAAACATATATGAAGGCAAATGGTGCAGTAAAATAATTCTTTAACAATAACACTCTAGATGACAACATTATAGGACTGAATAAAAGAAAAAATGGATTTTTTAGGCATTAACACTGGATTTACTATGATGCAATGCCCCCATTCATAGGTAAAAAGAGAGTCAGGGCATTTTGTGTTCCTTAATGGCAGCTCTTGACAAAAGCTGTGTACTTATTAGCTCAAGATTCCCAGAAGTAATTTTACATTCATTTTCATCTTTCAGGAAGAAGAACCCAGTTGCTTAAGGGCTTACCTGCAACAAGCACTGTTGAAGAAAACTCAGCAGCTGGTGTTTCAGTCTATGACTTTAATGTGACTGTTTCTCCATTGGCTGCTGAAGGCGTTGCAATTCTTCCTACCATAGTAAATTCAAATCCACTCACAGAAGCTTTTGACATTGAATCAAAAGGAGGTCTTGAATTCAGGGTGAGTTTAACTTGAGTAATTTTCTGTTGTAGGCTGATGTTTCCTGGATTACTGAGCACTGACAGTGCATAGTGTCACATCTTTTAATCAGAAAAGAATTTTAAATGCAGACTGTGGTAATATTCAAAAATGCTGTAATAGATATGACAGACGAACAGCAATACTAATTATGATTTTTAATTGCATCTTGGAAAAATCACTCATCACAATAATTCCATTAATTCTGTGATAGAAAAATTGTGATTTTTAGAAAATAAGAGGTGAAGAAGAACCTGGAGGATCTGCTTCTGTTTTGGGGTTTTATCTATAGTTTTTCAGCTTAATATGTATGAAGTGAAATGAAACGAAAGTGCCTTAGTTAAACCACTGTTTGGCCACTCTCACCAGGAGTTAAAATAAATTTGTCTCACTTCCAAAATAAATGAGGCTGAATCAGATCAAAGTATCTTTTAATTCTGAACAAAGGCTGTGACACATGAGGAAGTTATCTTAAGGTAAGAAGTTATCACCCTTCCACACATCTGTGACCTGCCTATATCCATTGCACACTCCTGTCCCATGGCAAATGCAGAGCAATTTCCATTACTTCAGGCTGATTTTTATTGTTGAATAAATTAGCAACTATTAGCTCACATTTGTCACAGGAAATGAGTGTTCAGATGCCTGATAACTTGTCATCCCATTGCAATTTGCTTGTACATCTGAGCCTGAACAGTGAAGAGTGGCTTTAATAGATACAGATAGAAATGGTGCAGAGTCTTAAAAAGGTGATTTGAATATCCTTTTCTGGGTGTTTGGGTTTTCACAGAACTGATACAACAGCTCTTTTCTTGTTCTCTCTGCTGGTGCTTTTGGGAGAAAATTTGGGAAAAGTAAGGCTGCAGGCCTAGGTGGTATTGGCTCATGGATTTGATGTGCCTGCAGGGAGCTGCTGTGGCTCCCATGCTCCAGCCTCTCAGCAGAGTACAAAGGTCACTTGTGCCAGCGCTGATGGCTCTTTACTGCTCCCCAGCCAGGTCAGTGAAGTGATTAAAAAACCTCTCAAAAGAGCCTTCTTTCACCTGTGAAGCATAGGGTGGGACTGCACAAATACCTGGACTGTGTCAGCTGAAGAGATCATAGAATTGTAGAATTATAGAATATGCTGAGTTGGAGGGGTTCCTTCAGGATTATCTAGTCCAGCTCCTGGTTCTATATAGGACATCCCAAGAATCACCCCGTGTGCCTGAGAGCATTGTCCAATCACTTCTTTAACTCTGCCAGGCTTGGTGCTGTGACCACCTCCCTGGAGTGCCTGTTACAGGGTTCAGCCACTTTCTGGGTAAAAAACATTTGCCTGAAATCCAGCCTAAACCTCCCTGAACTCTGCTTCATGCTCTTTCCTCAACTCCTGGGTAACAGTCAGAAGGAAATAGATACATCCCTTAAACTGGCTTTGCTGACAGAGAATCCATAATGTAGGACTCCCTTCCTAAGCTTTATTTTGGCATTTTGAATTAAAGTGACCCCTTCTGCTGCAAAATAGTCCTTTTTTATACCTGTTTGCTCATGTCCCATGCCATCTTTATATTATGACACACAAGAATTTATATTGCTGCTTGTTGAGTGTGACTGAGAAGTTAATCTGCAGGAAAAATAATAGACAAAAAGTCCTTCTTGGAATTTTTCATGGCAAGGATGATGGAGAAATTCTTGTTCTAGCACAGTGAAGGGTGACACAAGGATGAAAATGGATGGCCAAAGAAGCTGAAGAGACTGCTTCTTCCAAAGTGCCAGTTTGGACCCATTTCATACCGCAGCCACATTACCAGAATGGCCTGTGAACCTTTCTATGTTTTGCTTGAACTGTTGCTTTTTCCAACATTTCCTAAGTAACTCAGAGGACTAGAACAAAGAGTTTGAGCCAGTGAATATCAGTCATGAAAAAAACATAAAGAAAGCTACATACAAATTCTGCAAATTAGCTGATGAGTGCTAATTGCAGCTCAAAGCAAGGATAAATACTTGGATGTTCTTAGTTAATTTATTTGTTGAGGATTGCTACTTTTAATTACTTATGCTATGTTGTAGCAGATCTGTACAATTTTTCATAAAAGAGATGTGATCCAAAACCAGACACCTCAGCTCTATCTACTGTCATTAAATCTTTGCTAAGATATAGAAAAGGAACTAATTTAATGAATGAATTATGAGATTAGCTAAGTACCTGCTAGGACAGGCTCTTCAGTATTTATGAAGCACATTTAGTCCTGTTGCAGCAGCAGAAAACAATATCATGTTTCTTGATATATTTTGAGACTTCTGAGAAAGTAAGAGTTTCTGAGATCTCAGTCCTGCCCATTCCTCCTCACCTTACTCCTGTTTGAAGGTTCTCAAGAGCAGAAGATGTGTGGAATGCATGAAAACCTGTTTTTGCCTGAAACTACCTGGGTGCTCTTAGTGGAGCTCTCTGAATATATTGGTGGTGGAGCAGGGAGCAGTGAATTTCTCATGTGGAATGAGTGATAGACAGTTCAGGGGTGACTCTAGATCCCCTTTATGAAGCCTGCAGCTGCTCAAGTGTGTGCAGTCCTGCTTTTATCAGTAAGCTTTGCTCCTACCTGAAGGAAAGGAGAATAGCTGCTCACAGCCTATGCCAGTTGCATGCTGTTCCCAAAAAATTTCAAAAGAAACCTAGAAAGATCATTTAGATTCACATCTTCACTTCCAAGGCCTGCATAAAGGAGGGTGGAAGATGTGCATTTAGACACATTTAGTCCAGCTGTAGTTACAGCACCAATGAAAATATTTGGCTGTGAACTGGAGGGATAATCTCCAGAACACATAACTTCTTCTTAGAACTGGACAGTTTAAAATGTTGAATTCATTGTATGTGTTTACAGTATTTAGATCTCCATCAAACATTAATTTTGAACATCAAGCTTTCCATGGTTGTGACAAGCTTTTTACAATGTTTCTTCGGTGTTAGCATCACTTTTATGGGAAACTCATATCTGTACAGTATAGGAGGAAAGGAGAGCATCCAGGACACAGTTATTTTCTCCTGCAGTATTTTAACAGAAAGATCCATGAGGTTCCTGACAGCACAGAAGCTGTCAGGACAAAACATTTGTGCTTCTGTTCACTCTCCTCCAACTCTTTGTTAATTGTCTCTCTTTTGACTTCTGTCTTCTAACTGTGCTGTGCTTTTGTGTTTGTCCTCTGGCCCACAGCATCTCATCTAAACCCAAGGATTTATCTCTTTGTTCTCCTTCTGCATGCTCTTCAGTCTCCTCTATTCTGCAGTATTGTGAATATACTGACATGCTACTTGTCATACACACTCATGAATCCCAGCTCTTCTACTTCTCCAGTTCCACAGCACCCTGCTACTGGGTTCAAGTTTCACACATTTTTAGCCACGTAAAAAAACTTAATGGTCACCTTTTCATTTCTTGTCCAAGAAAGGAAAGATCTTGTTTTATTATTGGTTTCAGCAGTGAAGATTGAGGCACACAACTTTCAGTAACCTCCTGTTGCTCTGGACTCATCCTAAATCCAGAATGATTGCATTTTACATTTTTTCATAGGGTGTCAATCTCATGCTAGTACATATTTTGTGTTAAGAAGCAATATGTAGAGCTGAAAGCCTTCGAAATAAAATCCCCTAAACAAAATAAAGCAAATGTTTGCCTTATCAATCTTGCAGAACTCAAGGCCTAGGATATTTTTTCAATTAGTTTGGCATTTTCCCCAAACAATTCTGGTGCCTCTCTCAGACAATGTACCCATGAAGCTCCCTTCTGTGGTTTTCCTGCAAGTCTTCTCCCAGATACAGGCTACACAAGGAAGGTTCTAGTAACTTCTAGACTATATGGTCTTCTGCCTTCACACTCTTTATTTCAAGTAAAAGATCTTCCTCCTCATGTTCCTAATTCACAGAAAAAGTGAAGCTGCCCTTGTGTCTTGCAAGGCTTCCTCTGAATTCTCAGTCCATCACACCTTGAGCACTCCTGGAGCATGGTGTAGGAAGGAAAACACTTGGCACAGAGACATACCTGTAGGCCTGAATTTGAAGATAAAGCATTGTCTGTGAGGCAAGGCAGCTCCTTCCAGGCTATCTCCTCCTCAAACTGCTCCTCACAGAAAAGCTCTTTGAGTTAGTCCATGAAGCCAGACAACATTTTGATCTCTTTACTCTGTTTCTGTCACATTTTCGCCACTGATGCAAAATGTGCCAACAAGTAAAAGATTATCTAGAACACTCACTCTTTACAGATTGAAAGTGTCTCTTGATTTGTGTTCACTCATTTGGACTCTAAGTTTCATCTCTTGCATTATGTGCTAATAATAATCTTTTATTTTCAGGTTATTACCACTGGAAACCCTGTCCTAGATTATGAAACAATGCCAAAGAGCTTTGATTTGCAGATTTTTGTTGAAGATGTAACTGGAAGAACTGACCTTAACACATTGACTATTCACGTAACAGATAAAAATGAACATCCTGTATTTCGAGGAAATTTGGCAATTCAAAGTAAGATAATGGTAGAATTTGAAAAGAACAATACTTGAAAAGATTACATCAGCTTAAAAAAAATTGAGCTCATACACTGCCTGTAATTAAAGTTGTCTAAAGTAAAGTCTAAAGTAGTCTAAGTATTTTGCTTCAGGAAAACAAGGGAAGAATAGGACACTGTTTTTATCAGTGTTGTTTCACACAAAGAGTTGGTATGCTTCATCTCTGGAAATGCCCTTTCATTTTTCTTGAAGTTTTGTTAAAAAATTGTTTACCCATTTTGAAGCAGCTGAAGAATTAAAGGAAAAAAAATACCAATAAATACATATGTTCTTTTTGATTAGAAAATTAAAGTTTGCTGGGTTTATAACTATTGATTATGGGTCCATATTTCTGTAGTTTGTTGAGAACTGGACTGACAAGCAAGATAAATTTCAACAAGAGCATATTGTATGTGCAAGAATTTCTGTGGGAAAACAATAAAAATCTGGCTTTGCAGATGTTTTATATCTGCATATGGCATCTGCACCTTCACACGAGAAATTAAGTTGAAAATCAGTCTTAAGAGTGAGACCTCAGAGATTGTGATCTATAGTGATACAAATTGAAGGAGGCCCCTACATGGGGCAATTGATGTTAACCAAGTTTACTTTTAGACCAGGGGCAAAGATGCAAAGGGGAGGAATGTGCAGTAGCCTTAGGAATGAGGCTGGAGAGACTGGACTGCAGCTGTGGCCAGTGCAGGCTTTGCACGTTGTGCTGTACCTGACACTGCCATCAATAGAAAGGTGTCTCGTTACGGACTTTTGGATTAGGTTCTTTCTCCCTTTGAACTGAAGATTGATGAGAGGGAGGCTATTTTCTCTTGTTCGGTCTCAGCATTTTATTCTTTTCTTATCAGCACTACAAGGTACAAGGAGCTATGTGCATTATGATAGAAAAGGGGTAAAATGGCTAACAAATATCCTCTTCAAGGTCTTTTATATGTCCATTTACCCAATTAACAGATGCCAACTAAATTATTTTTCTTAGTGACCCAATGACCTAACACCTGTGTGCTGCACTACAGTATTTTTTATCCAGTCACTTACTACTACCCAAAAACCCCTAGGAAAAGAACATGAAGAAGAAAGAAGGACAAGAGACAACACCCTAAAT